CCTTGTCAGACTGCAGTACTTCGAAGTATGTCAGAGCTGGACTTAGCTAAAGTCCTGCCTCTTGGGCGTCAGCATAGCCTCTTCAACGGTCTTGAAGTTGTGTTGAAAAACATGGGACATTTGATCCATCAGTACCTGCCTGAAATTCTACAGATTCTGCTTTGCATGACGGCTGTGGTATCCTGTATCCTCCAGCAAAGAGAGAAGGTACAATATATATATATTAAAAAAAAAAAAGTAAATTGAATTTCTTTTTTTCCTCTTCCCCTTAGCTTGCACATGTACACACGCCTTCAGCAGTTCAGATAAAGATAAGTGTAATGCCAGCATGAAGTGAAACATAACAATTAGATGTCTGTCAAAATAAAGGCCAGTGATACTTTTCTGAAAGTGCTACAGGGCTCAGGCAATGCAGGCAGAGTTAATATATTTAGAAAGCTGCTTAGGACTACATTTTTGCTTGAGTTACTGAAGAGAGAGTTGGAGGCGATCTCTGTGCATTGCTGCTTGCCTACTCTGTGGACAGATGGGAAGGAGGAAAAGGTAAATGATTTATTTTAAGGACATAGTGAGATCTTATAGCTGGAAGTTGAAATTGGCCTTACAGGTGTAGCTTCTTGGCTGCAAGGATAGAACATTTGAGCAGGGAAAGGAGGGGATTTAAAGTTCCTTGCTTGAGGACTTGAGAGCAAAACTTGTCTTTGAGGTGTTTTGTAGATGTGCTAGACCCTAGGGGAGCTCAGCGTTGTGGATGATCGCAGTGATTATCTACAGTGATTGTCTGCTGCCGTGGGATACAGGGAGAGCATAGCTACCAGCCATGCTTTTAGCACATTAGAAGCGCGTTCAGCTCTGTATCAGGAGTAGTTGTGCTAATCCAGTGTCACAGCTGGGTCTCAGCCAGGTATCTGCAGAGCACTGCAAGTGTGTTTTTTTTTCTTTGCTGTGCAATGGCTGTACGTGCAGAAAGGGTCAGGTGAGGAAAACATTCTGTTAAAGATTGGCCTCTCCTGAACTGGGGCGTTTGGCTTACTGCTTGCCTGTGCCCAGGAGAGCAGTGCAGAGATCCCTAAGCTCTAGACCAGATAGCTCAGGGGGTCTGTTGCCAGCTGTTTGGAAGCTATGACATTGAGCCAGGCTTCTCTGTCTTTTTGAAACTGGTGCCTTTGCCGGGCTTCAATCCAAATAGGAAAAGGAAAGCTTGAGTCTCGTCCAGCACAGAGCATGATTATATATTAGGTGAGAAACAAGCAAACTGCATAGTCATCATCGTCACTGCTGTGTTGAAAGGAGTTATGAGATGATAGGCTGAGCAAGTGGTGTGTTGAAAGGAATCACATGATGATGGACCGAGCAAGTGGTGTTAGGTAACGAATGTTTTGTCACTCTGTGTGTGTGTTATTGCCAAGACCCATCTGTGGGCATTCGAGGTTAGAAGTTGTCTTGAAAACAATCCATCAAACAAAGCAAGCCCTTGCATAGGCAGCATCCAAGCTCCCGTAGTTGCCTGCAAGCTGCACAGAACCCTGTGACTGTCTTCATTTACGAAGAGGATGACCAAATTTTAGGACAGCATCCCACAGTCTGACTTAAGCAATGGGTTGCATGTGCCTACATGTTTTAAACTGGGAAAGGAGTTTTAAAAGCTGCTTCATTCATTGCTGGGATAGTCAGATTTTGCCAGGGTTACTATAGTAGTCCTGTCATCGTTGTGTAACATGTGGAGCGAGTCTGTCATTTGTCTGAACTTGATTTGCAACTTTGTTAGCCCGTGAGATGTTAAACAGATTTCTCACACTCTTTCTTGAGCTTTTATCTTGGCTAATGATTAGAAGATATTCTTTGAGAGTAATTTATTGCGGGCTGATATTGCCTGGAGAGTTGAACGTCAACTTTGACCGTTTTAAGTCAAGTTACTCATTTACCGTTTCCTACTGTTTGTGTTCAGTATTGAGTTTCTTTGTCCTCTCAAAGACTTGATCTCAGAGGATTGCTCCTATGGCAACTGAACAGTGGCAGACCCAAAATTATTTTGCTGGAGGTCACCATTAGCAATAGCAGCCTGGCTGTGCTTTCTTTGGCCCTTTGAGCAGCTCATTTGCTGCCTGGAAGCTGATTGCACACCATTAGTACGCATTCAGCACAGCTTGGGAGGTCTTGGGCAACAGCATGTTTGGTTCCTTTTCCACCGTCTCCTTTTTGTCTTTTTACCTGTGATTTTGAGTGCAAAAGGAGCATACCAGTATGTTGCATGGTAGAGGGTAGCGTCTTCAGAAGTCCATAGCTACCTCAAATAAAAAAAGTTGTGATGTCTTTTAGTGAGCCTTTGACACCAAAGCTGCTTTGCAAAATAAGAGATACAAGTGTTTATTCTGTGTGGTGGATCATGATATGTACTGGAGGCCCTGAGGAACCCAAGACATAGCTCCAGTCTTGGACAGCAGCCTTTATTTGCTCTGACATGGCTCTGTTGTTTCTGAGACTGGAGTTCAGTACCTCTGCACTATGAAGCTGTCTCGTGTTTGTGCTGTGAGCTGCATTGCACAGTATGGAAATAATTTAGGTTACTCAAGTCACGACTCTTCTCTGGGAGAAGAATCAGAATGCAGCAGTGTGTGAATAACTTCTAGATTAGCTGTGTGGCTAATTTTCTTACTTGAAATATTTTCCCCAAGAAAGACTATGGAATGCAAGTGCTAAATGGGTACACGAAGCATCTTCTTGCAACCAAATGCTATGCTCCCCCTGCCCTATGCTGTTGGAGGGGGTGATTCACATTCTTGCCTTCTCTATTCCTCCCGCTTCTCCTTGTCTGTTGATTTCTTTTCTTCCCAGTAGATCTCAATGTGCGAAGTACAACTTCACTTTCAAGAGATGATCTGGGTCCCTTGCTGTGTAAAACACAATTATTTAAGTGCCAGGGCTGTAACTCTAACTGTGTTGTAGCTTTCTGCGTTTTGTCCACAAAGGGCAGATACTACTTCAAACCTGTCAGCATGGGTTTTCATGAGCTGAAGGAGTCCTGTGTAACTAAGTGCAGGGACAGACACCCCTTAGAAAAAATTAGGTCAGCTATGAGAGGTAGATTGCTACCGTGAACAAGTTACAGGAGAAAACAGAAGAACATTGTGATAGTTCCAGCAAAGGTTGTATCTGTGGTCAATGAGTTGCTGTATTTAATTTCAGAAGTAGTAGTCAGTAGTTCTGCAAAGGTCTTACTTTTTTGTTTTGTTTTCTTTTTACAGATCCAACCTCGGTTGCTTAATCCACTGAAGAATTTGAGACGTCTTGGACTCAAGCTTGTGGCAGAGTTTTTTTCTGATTATGAGACCTACAGCTTTAGTGTGGAAGAGATTGATGCAGTTTTCCATGCAGTGGTATGGCCTCAGGTCAGTATTTCTTGTTCTTAAATAGCTTGTGTGTAACATGTACCATGCAGAGAACTCCAGCTGCACTGGAGTCCATCGCGTCAGCTATATCCATCACAAGTTGGGATGTGGACTCAGATTCTGGCATTCTGATCTGTGTGTGCAGGGCCAGTTTCTTGGCTTACATCTGCTTAGTCCTGGAATAATCAAGTCACAGGCTAATGTACAAATTAAGTCATCTGAATAAAACAGATGCTATTTCTTTGTTCTTTAACCACAGAAGTAGACTTCTTCCCTGGATGCTTCAGGGAAGCAAAATAATACTAGTCACTTCTAGGTGCACTTTGCTACTTTTCTGTGTGACAGTTATCAGGCCTGTGGTAGGGGACTGCAGAAACAAATGGTACTGCAGGAAAGGAAGGACCCAGCGGGGGTCTGACAGCAGGCTGTGTGCTCTTGTGCCCACCTGCTGGGACTCCTGTGTGAGCACAGTGACAAAGCATGGGGTTGTGGCCTTCATCAGAGAAATTCAGATCACCTCTGAGTTGGGAAGATGCGCTGTTGTGAGGGGAAGAGAGAACACAGAGTATTTGAAATGAAATTATGCTGGCTGTGTCAGTGTACTGGGCTCTGAGGTTATCTGGGAATGCCTGTACCAGCTGCTGGGTTGTCTCTGTTCTAAAGGCAGTCGCTTCCACCCAAAGGGTAAGTGAGCAAGATGGGCTGACTCCCACAGAGCTCTTCCACCGAGGCTTTTGAGGTATCCAAATGTCCAACTTGTTTGCGGCAGAAAAGCCTGTCAAAGAGCACCAGGAGTAACTGTTGTGGTCTATGAAACCTCAAATCTGCTTCTTTAGACACTGTGTTTGCTCACTCCTACCCTGTTTCGCTCTTCTACTCATAACAGTAGGTGATGTGTAGTATGTGTATGTGGACAGAGAGTAGATAGAATACTTTCAGGCAGTGCATATAGCTCTGTATTTCACTGGAGTGAGCAACAGGGAGCTGTATGTTCCTGGTTTGTCCATGGAGTCTTTTCAAGGCCAGGGTGCTACAAAGCAGTGAACATTTACTGCAGTCCCAGAGCAGTTCAAGCACGTGGTTTGGGCTTTAAGTCAGCAAAGTACTTAATGTTTTCGGGGAGCATTGTATTTGGAAATGCTGAGTATATCTGAATAAGATGTAAAATTGTTGTTAAATAGTTAGAATTCCTGTTGTTCTTACAGATATCGGGAAGACAGACCTGGTTTTGGAGCTTGAATAGTAGTACAATCCAGAAGCTCCCTCTAGAGGAAGGAATCATTCAACTTGTGTGCTGTTCTTTTTTAAGGCTATGGAACTGAGGTGTATAAAAACTCATGGAGAGGGCAAATTGTTTTAAACCTGTTGTACTTGGAGCTGGAGTTTGCTGCTCTGCATACCCCAGGATTTTACTGCAAAGGCTGTCGTATTCCTGCATGATTGGATGAACGGTTTACTCTTCGTTTGTACGTCATTCAGAAAAGCTCTGTTTTATGCCGAGCAAAAACATTACCAACCTTTAGGGGGAGGAGAAGCAGCTTTCTAAGACTCTGGCTATGACGGTCAGACCTGCTTTCTTTTCTATTATGCTCAGGTCTTGAGTCCAGACTGAGCTAGTCCAAACCCCACATGCACCATCCTGTCTATTGCCCCTGAATGCACTGGAGCCTCCCCTGCCTGTGTGTTCACTATCGGTGCCCTGCTGACAGTCCAGTTGTGTCAAGGTAGAAACCCAACTGTGTGACTTGCATGCAGCCTGGTGTGTTGCAGAGGAGGGAGCCAGACCTGTACACTGGGTCTCTTGCCTGTGTCCAGTCACATACAGGAGCAGCAGCTGCTGTGTGGGGCTTAGGCTGGGCAACTCTTAGGTGGGCTTGGTTTGGACAAAGAACCTTGTTAGGAGATCCCGTTCCTGGGATGCAGTGCAGTGCTTGAGCCTCTCCCTGAGCAAAGAAGGTGCTTTTTATAGCAGCAAGGCCACGGAGACATAGAGCAGATGCTGGAACGGCAGGTGCTGTGACAAGGGCATAGGAAGCGTGGGAGGAGTGAATCTTGGATGTCATGCTTGAGATCTCAATGGGTATGTCCAGGAGAGGTTACTAGGTCTCTGTGGCAAGCATGAGGCTCCATGAGGAGCCAGTTTCAAAGGGAGGGCAAAAATGGTAGCTGGAATAGTGTATAAATAGCAGTAAGATCATCTAAAAGCGATTCCACAAATAGGAAGCTGGAAAAATGATGATGAAATTACTTTTTTAAAAAAGGTAAATTATAGATTGTAGTGAGGTCTTTGTTAGAGATGAGGTTTTTAAGTGGCTTTACATACTCATGTTGCATTGGTATCTGATTTTTTTTTTTCCTCTCCTTTAGGTCTGCAGATTGGCTTCAGAGAGTCAGTATTCTCCAACTTTTCTCCTCAAACTCATTCACACCTGGAGTAAGAATCCCAGGTAAGTGTTCTCCTCACAAAGTAGCATAAGTACTTCTGAATATGCAAAATCCAAGGAAAAAAGAGCACACTAACAGATTATGAATAATGGTGTCAAACCCCATATTTTCCTTTTCCATTAGACTGTTACTCTTTTGATAGCAGTCCAGATGCAGTTGGGAAGCTTTCCAGTTTATGCTGTTACTCACTTTTTAGTGAGCTGCTTTTCTCATACATTAACAGCTAAGCACATACATAGCCCAAACTCAGCTGATGGATGAGGAGGGCTGGCTTCTGTATCTTGACCAATGACTTCTTAGTCTTGGGAGGTGGGAAGTCAGTTTACAGTATATAATTTCATTCATGTTTTTTGATTCCCTGTTTCTTTCTCTTTTATGAAAGAATGTGGGCAGGTTCAACAGAGAATCTGTGACTAAGATTTTGATACTGAAAGTTGTGAGAGAGCTTTTTTGTTTATGCAGATGCTGTGCGAAATTGCAATTCGGCTGTCTTTAGTGATTTATTTTTTTTGCTTCTTCCATGGACTCACTGCTTTTCCTTTGATAAAGTAGCCAGTATTTGTTTTAAGACATGTCATTTGTAGGCATGAAGAACTTGTATACAAACTTCTGTAAAAGATGGTATTGGATCATTAGGTTAGGAGCAGACTAACAGGAGACTTGGATAGACATCTGTGGAGAAAGGATTAGCTTTAGATGATGCTATCTTGAAGCAAGAAAAGGGACTTGATGACGTCTCAACCTCCAGTCATTCTATTTTTCATGGCCCTGTTGTTCTGTGATATTTTTTTTCACTCTTTCCTTGTTTGAAGTAGAAGACAGTCATTATCTTTTTGTGTGACTCTTTGCACAAAAGAATTATAAAGTTTTGAACTTAAATTTTCAGCCAACCTTTTTTGTAATTTTTCTCTCAGGTATTTCCCCTTGCTGGCCAAGCAGCAATCAGATCACCCAGAGTGTGATATACTGTCAAATGTGTTTGCTGTGCTGTCAGCCAAGAATCTGTCTGAGGCCACGTCCAATGTTGTGATGGACATAGCTGATAGCCTTCTCAACAGCCCAGATTTTGAACCCACGGAGCAGGTTTCCAGTTTGAGCGTGACTGACTGTGTTGTCATGGCCACTGGGGATGTGACAGAAGGTATGCTTGCGTAAGAGTCGTGAGGGGCCTGTTGGGTGCTTTGGATGGAGGTGTTAGATTACGATGAGGTGGTTTTTGCACTGGCTGAGAATACTGGGGAAGGAGACCTCCCAGTGGAGATTGAAATGTCAATGTACAAATTTGTCTTGGCATGCTCAGGAACTGTGAAGTCCTGCTTGTCTGATGACTGGCGAGATCCACATTTCAGTGTCAGGGTCCTGAGCATGGAGAAATTCCTTATGACAGAAGGAAAATTTTTGTGTTGTTGACCTGTTTTGCCTTCAAAGCTTTGACTGATATGATAACTTCAGGAACTGCGTTGCTGACTCACCTCTGGGCCTAACATCAAGTTGCCCACTCCCCATATGCATGTGGTCATGCGTCGCTTTGATGTTTAGTCTGTGCTCCTTGACAAGAAAGACCTGCCATTGATTCCTTTTATCTTTGAGTGGTAGTAGACAGGAAGGATGGTGTGTTGTTTGGCACTCTGGAGCCATCTTTACCCTGTAACACTCCAACACAGTGGAAAGCAGAGCACTTATCACTGTGCCCTTGTTATGGCAGCTTTGATTTGCACAAGAGGTTAGTGGTAGAATAAAGAAAACTACATCTATAAATGCTCCATCCATTTTAGGAGATGGTTACTACCTTTGAGGAAAGTCCTTGGCACCTTTTGATAAGCCCACGCTTAATGGGGCTGTTACTGAAATGTGTGAGGAGAGCTTTTATTCTCTGTGGGTGCTTTCTTTGGTCCTAGCTCAGACATGTTAGATTTGGTCCCAGCAAGTGCTGGTGCATGTTCCCAGCAGCCAACTGCCCTGCACGTTACTGGCTCCCATTGATTTTTCTCTTCCACTGGTGAAACCTCCTTTGTCTGCGTTTTCCCCTTTGTTTGTTGGATTTCCCTTCTGTTGCTTCCAGCACAGAGTTGGGCGTTGCTAACTGTTGATTCCTTTACAGAGACCCTTAGCCTAGGTTGCCGCTTGGTTCTGCCTCATGTTCCTGCCATACTTCAGTACTTCAGCAAAACAATGTTAAATGTGGAGAAGGTGAAAAAGAAGAAGTATAGAGCTCAAGTCAGCAAAGAGCTGAGTATACTTTCAAAGTAAGTGCTTCTTTAGAGCTCAAAACAGTTAAAAAGTTGGAAGGAGGGAGGAAGAAAGGCTTTTTGTAACAGGTTCCAAATTAAAAAAAAATTATGTCTCAAACTATTTAAATTTAGAACATTTGAAAATAACTGGATCTGTCATTGACCTTGCAAGTTGCTGGTGGCTGAGGCAAGAGGTTTTCAGAAATTGATTCTAGCTGTTTCTGTTGCTGGTATTCAGAAATGCCTCTTGGGGGTAGCAAAAGGTACAGAAATGCCTGCAGCCATGTGAAACAGAATACTTGGGCTGATACCATGGTTTTGGTACGGTCTATTAGCTGTGGTGGGTACAGATGGATGGGCTGACAAAGCCCTGTGATATGGCACTGGTGCTGACTGAGTTCTTATTTGCTCTATCCTGGTGATTGGATTGATATAAAATAGTAAATCACCTTATCTCATTGCACAGGATCAGCAAATTTATACAAGAAAAGAGTCAGAATTCAGTCCTTGTGAGCCTTCTCCTCCCTTTCCTTTATCAGAGTAACATGGAGCAGGTAGGTAGAAATTACGTTCGTCCTCTAATAATTGTTTGTTTTTCTTTTAACAAAGTATACTTGTTTGAGATGCAGTTAAAAGTCTTATTGATTACATGCCATTTCTCATGATTAGCCTGAAATCGAGTCTTCATGTCTTTGTAGTCTGCTCAGCGTGCTGTGCCATTGCATGTTGATGTGTACAAGTCACTGGATACTTTGCTGGGATGTTAGTCCCCAGGCTGACTCTGTCCCCGCTTTTCTTGGGGAAGGTCTGCAGAAGTTTTTATGCAGTTTTTACCTCCTTTGCCACTGTAGTCAATCCACCAAATTCCAGTATTTGAAATAAATGCTTTTCTTCTTTATGGATTTTATGCACCCCAAATCCAAAGCCGCAGCATCTGGACAGCAATACGAATACATACAGTTGATTATGTAGTACCTGCTGTGTAATGGGCAGTGTTATGTTGGCCTGTTGCAGGATGGAAGGCAAACATTACATAGTGCTATTAACGTGCTCCCATATCTCCTGCTTCCATTCTGTTCTCCTTCCACTCTTAAGGATTCCATCCATGGGTACAGAAGTGTATCTCAGAACTGAAACTTCCCTAAAATCCTAAATTCCTCAGGCATGAAAAGCATATAGGCTGCAGTGGAAGGAAGCAGAACTCTCCATGGCTTAGGCTTTTGTAAACTGTTAAATAAATCAGGTGCTGAGGATATTGGTAGACTATTTTGTCTGGGTTTCCATCACTGCCAAACCTTGTCTTCAGAAATATAGTCCCATCTACAATGAATGAATCTATTGATTATTCAGATTATTATCGATGACTCGTTGGAAAAAGGCTTGGGTCTTGTTTTTCTTAAAAGACACACAGTTCCTCAATGAGAGATCGTAGGTTTGCAGAAAGAACTGCTGGGCAGCAACCTGTAGCTTCTGCTTTGCAAGTGGTCACTTAATTGTTCACAGAGGATTTTTGGTTTTTAAATCTGAATCGTTAGGGGACCATATATGATTTCATTCAAGGAGATCATACAAGTATATGGTGCTGTTAATGTTTGTTTTACAGGTTAAAGAAAGACTACTTCTTAAAGCTCTATTGGTTCTCCTGACCTTTGAGTCATTTGAGGAAAGACACACAAAAAAATTCTTCCTCATGGTGGCACTCTTCTCTAACACTGTGCTTGTGTCTAATTGAAAGGTTGCAAGTGCTTCTGAGAGATTTGATGATTGCATTGAGTGTGTCCTCCTAATTCTTTGTTCTCCTTCAGTATCTGTGATCTCAGTAAAATACAGCAAAGTGGTTAAGTTCTCTCTGTGTCTTGAAATATTTCCCAAGGAAATGAAATAATCTTGTGAGGTTTCAGTATTTATTGACAGTTATCTGCCTCTTTCAGGGTACAGAGATTGACATTCTGGAGACAGTGCAGAACTTGCTGAGGCATTGCGCAAACCCTACAAGCTTTCTCAAACCACTGGCAAAGCTTTTTTCTGTCATCCAGAACAAGCTGTCTCGACATAAGTTGTGCTTGGTATTTCAGGTATTGTATTTTCTATGTGTCTTTCTCTGCTTTTTTTTACTTGTTCTAAGATATGAAGAACAAAATAAATAGCAGTACTTCATCTTTGTGGTACATGAGCTTAAAAACCTTTTTAATCATCCATTAAGTGAAAGTATCATAATTGTATATGATAGAAATTAACGAGCTGCACGAAAATTTGTAGAAGTTTTGGCTTACAGCCTGGTTGATGTAACCATCACCAGGGTTCTTTTGTGTAAGAGAAGCCAAATAAAGCACGCTTCATCCATAACGAATCCTCTATCTTTATGAAATGAAAATGGCTTTCAGCATCCTGAAGATGATTTTATTTGTATTCTCTCACAGATTTATAGCAGTCACACTGTTTTACACGAAAATTTGTAGAAGTTTTGGCTTACAGCCTGGTTGATGTAACCATCACCAGGGTTCTTTTGTGTAAGAGAAGCCAAATAAAGCACGCTTCATCCATAACGAATCCTCTATCTTTATGAAATGAAAATGGCTTTCAGCATCCTGAAGATGATTTTATTTGTATTCTCTCACAGATTTATAGCAGTCACACTGTTTTACATTTCTTTTAAGTGACTTATATACCTCGTTTTTTTTTTTCAGCAGGAAAACCCAGGAAACACTCATTGTAGATATTTAGAAACTTGGGAAATTAAAACACACATCTTCCAACTTATGGAAGAATGACTCTTATTAAGCTTCTAAGGAGAAAAATTGATGCTGTTGCTTTATTTTTTGTCTCAAGTGGTAAATTCTTGAGTTCTCAAAATTTTTAACAACTGTTAAGTTGTTAAATAGTTAAACTATTTTCTTTTATGTTTCTTTTTAGACTTTATCTGATTTGGACAATGAATTGAAGTATATTACCGATGTTGTTAAGGTAAGCACAGTTTCTTTGCTCACTCTTTTCCCCAACATTGTATTGTCATGTTTCTGGCTTTTTTCATGAACGACTTGTTGCTCTGTGTTAGCTGAATGCCTTTGATCAACGACATCTCGATGATATCGACTTTGATGTACGTCTGTCAGCATTCCAGTCGATCACAGCCCACATCAAGGAAATGCAAGCAGTGGATATCGACTTCCTCATCGCTGTTATGCACAACTGCTTCTATACCATCCAGGTTGGCTGAATGTTCCTTCTTTTGCTTTGTGCACCATGTGTTCATGATGCATCTAACTTCCAATTTATTTCCATTGGCTGTTTTTTGACACTACAAAACATTCAGAGAGCGTATTTGAGTCTTCTTGCAAACACCTGGTTTTAAGTTTTGTCCACTTGCATTTTCACCTGTGTGTCGAAGGACAAATACAGTACAGCAAGAAGGCTCACCCAAACGTAGTGAAGCTTTGTATCAGTGAGCCCTGGAACTGTTGCTCAATTTGTACTGTATAAAAGGCATATTACAGTCTTGAAAGGATGATTTTGTTTTTGTTGCAGCATGTTCTGGTTGTGTGGACCTGTTGGTAAATCTAAAAGGATTTTTCCTGATTGGAAGGGTGGGCATTATTAATTCAGGGCTAGAACTTCTACAGGAGGGGTCTCAAGAGTTACTGGCTCCCTACAGGCCTTGTTATGTTGTGTCCAGTGGTACTGTTCGGTCTTTTGGGGAGAGAAAGGTGTCATATCCAGACTCACGTGGTACAATTTCTTCATCCACTCAGCTAGGGGATATGGCTCTTAGTGACAATGCAAGCCTTTGCTTGACCAGTTTTATCCACCGACTGGCAGAAATTGACCACACAGAAGATGAGTACAAGGAACTAATCCAGCACACTCTCCTGGAGTCTGTGAGGAGGGGGCTGAAGAGTAAGACTGAGGTAAGGCACTGTTATCTGATTATGTATCTCCAGGTGTCTTCAGGATGCCAGGGCTTATGAGACTTCTTATACATGAGTTCTTTCAGTCTGTTGCAGGGATAAGAAATGCAGATACGCACTGTAATCAAACTTAGCCTTCATTTGAAATCTTACAAAAATAGAACAAGTTATAGAACTCCACTGTCTTGTGTTTCTTTGCCATTGTTCAGCTTTTCTCAGTTGTAGCTCATTCTGGAGGAGAGGCTTTAATTTATGTACAGTCCAAAATACAGGTGTATTTGCTGTTATCAAAGAATACACCTTGGCCTGAAACACTCTGTTAATGACAGCACTGCTGTTCTGAGGAGTGTGCAGCAGCCTCTCCAAGGGCTACTTAACCTTCACTGCTTGCTGTTTGCAGAGCATCCAGCAGGACTACACGTCGTTGCTTTCCTGCCTCATTCAAACGTTCCCAGCAAATCCTGAATTCCGGGATTTGGTCCAGTTGACCAACCGCCATGATCCCGACATGGACTTCTTTGAGAACATGAAACACATGCAGGTAAAAGGCAACAGGTATTCCCTAGTGCCTCTCTCCCCCTGCCAAAGCAAAACCATTTTACAGTGGGATTTTAATCTTTCCCAAAGCATCAATGTGCTGTCTTTACAGAGAAATTGAACCTGTGTCATTAGATACCGTAAAAAAAAAAAAAAAGGGGGGGGGGGGGAAATGTGAGCATCATCACATGAGCGATTGTGAATCAAAGGCTATTTCTATCTGGAAATTTCTTGGCTCTGTGATTTAGCAGCACTGTTTTTTACCTCTTCCTAATTTAGCTTAAAAAATTGCTCTCATTTTAAGTGATTGTTCATGATCTTGAGCAGGCAAATCGACATTATAACCTCTGTGTGACCCAGACAACAGTCAGCAACAGTGTCCTGAGGATCCCTCTGACAGAGACAGGGAACAGGTCTTTTTGGTTTTTTTTCTAGCCTGTTCCCTGCTACTCTCTATCCGGAGGCTGTGCAGCCCCTTTTCATTCACAGACCTTTGTAATATAAATGTTACACAAAGCCTGTTCTCCTCTGCTTTCAGAGATGCAATCAGAGAGCATCTTTGCTACATATGTAGTTATATGTAGAGTCTAAATTTTTTCCTCAGAATTTTGTCAGGCCTTCTCATCTTATATCAGTTGCCTCCCTTGTCTGATACCTGAATATGTCACAGTCTTATGATTATGAATTCACAGTGAAATATCCCATTGAGTTGGAATATTTATTGAGGCAAAAAGCTAGTGAACGCCCGGAGACTGAATGAAAAGGGCATGACCTGTCCTTGGAAATGACCATAGGTTTATGTAATTTCTTAAAATTGAGGCATTTTCAGAACTGCTGAATGTATGAGCTCCCTTGTGACTCAAGCACCACCTCATTCGCTGTCTCTCATGTTTGGCTCAGATCCACAGGAGGGCACGAGCTCTGAGGAAACTGGCTAAGCAGCTCACTGAAAAAAAGCTTATGCTGTCTTCTAAATCCCTGCAGAACTACATCATGCCTTATGCTACTACTGCCATTTTTAATGAAAAAATGCTTAAGGTAAGCTTTTAAATTGAATATTTTCACCTGTCTTGAATACCATTCTCCTTAAAAGACTAACCACTTTAAAAGACTGATAAGTTTGTGGAGTGAGCGTTCACCTTTCAGACAAGAGCACTGTGCTTCTTTTGGTGGCAGAAAGAGGATTTGGAAGGTGCAGATGCAGTGTGTGCCCAATCCTGTATCTGCTAAACCTGTCCTGTTTTTCAAAGACAGACCTTGGTGAAGAAACAAACACGTTTTATTTCAATTTTGCATCAGAAATGGGTTAGTGATGTGTACTTCTAGTTGATCAGCATAGCCCCGCAATGTGCCATGTGTCTGTGCTTAGATATCTTGACTGAATTTTAGTTCTTCACACAAGTAAGCCCATAGATGTAGTTATGTGAGAAAACTTAAATGTGTGCAGAAATATTTGGAGGAAGGGGGTCTGGGGATCTGCTTGATGACCAGTGATTATATTTTATTTTTTTACCTGGTGATCGAGAGGAGATCTAAAAGAACTGAATACCAAGCATCATCCCCACTAGACAGACATTATTTCTTCTGGCTGTTATTGCTTTGAGTAAAGTATGCTGTAGACACATTCAGCATGAATACTAACAGCAACTGAATTTCTGTCTTTTGGGCAGCATGAAAATATGGTAACAGCCTCGGTTGAAGTTGTTGGAGCTGTCTGCCGACATCTCTCGTGGTCAGCGTACTTGTACCACTTAAAGCATTTCATCCACGTCCTGCAAACAGGACAGATCAGTCCAAAGCTGGGAGTCAGGTAGGTACTGTGAGCGATGCTGCTCTAGTTTTCTCCAAAGACTGCTAAGGCAAAATTCAGTGTCTTAAGAAGCATTGCATGGATTTTAGCCTCTTCCCTGGGATGAGAGTTTGCTGACTTTGAGGTGGACTTATGCAAGTGAAAGTGGGCACGGCCTTGCAGACTGCAACTGTGAAGGATTAACAGGTCGCTGTGTCTCACTGAGTGCATGCTAGCATTAGCAGCTTCTGGTTCTGTCAGGCTGTCCCTGCTCCTGGGACACCTCCATTGCTCCAGCACCGCTGTCTGTGAGGTTTCACAGTGAGCTAGGTCACAAAATGCATCTAACTGAAAAGCAACCAGTTTTTATTTCCTGGGTTGTTATTTCAGGATAAATGTCCTTATGCTGCAGTGTCACTGAGTCTGAAGTTTTCCAAAATGTGTTTTTTAGATTTTCTGTTGTGTTGGTCTATGCAGCCTCTCCTTTTTGTGCAGAGGGCTCATCTCTCTTCATGTTTTCTTTCCGCAGCTTGTTAGAGACAGTGCTGGAAGCCTTTCACTTTGACTATGAAACGCTTGAAAAGCAGCTTGTGACCATTGACAACCAAGGTGAGCTTTCTGCTCCTGATTGTAGAAACACTGCCTCTAACTGCTCAAAGTGCAGCTGATCGAAATCTTGTGTTTTATTCTTGAGGTCAGCTACTTCCAGCTTTTTAAAATGTGCATATTGGAAGCTAGTTTTGACTTGCCTCCTCAGGAGCAATGCAGACTGTCCTCCTGTGTGTTGACAAACTGAGGAGAGGTGGGGGAACCATCTCCACATAACCTCTCTGTCCCAGGCCTCCCTAAGCCAAAACAGCCCGGGCTGGGTGTACATAAATCTGGGGGGTTCTCCAAGGTCTGCACCCACTCGTGCGGCTGCTGACACATCTGAGTTTTTTTTTGTCCTTGATGTTGGCTGCTCTCATGGTTATCTGCAGCTTGGGAAGGGTACTGTATGTCTTTGCCTTGCTTCCACCGCCATTTCATGGGAAGAAGTGATATTTATTCATCAGTGACCTGGATATGGGGACAGAGTGTACCCTCAGCAAATTTGGTGATGATACTAAACTGGGCGGAGTGGCCGACACACCAGAAGGCTGTGCTGCAATTCAGCGAGATGTTGACAGAATAGAGAATTGGGCAAAGAGGAACCATATGAAATTCAATAAGGGCGAATGTAGGGCCCTGCATGTAGGGAAGAACAGCCCCACGCACCAGTACAGGTTAGGGGTTGGCCTGCTGGGAAGCAGCACTGTGGAGAAGGACCTGGGAGTCCTGGTGGACAAGCAGCTCTCCATGAGCCAGCAGTGTGCCCTGGTGGCCAAGAAGGCCGATGGTGTCCTGGGGTGCATTAAGAGGAGTGTGGCCAGCAGGTTGAGGGAGGTTATCCTCCTCCTCCACTCTGCCCTGGTGAGGCCACATTTGAAATATTGTGTCCAGTTCTGGGCTCCCCAGTTCAAGCAAGACAGGGAACTTCTGGAGAGCATCCGGCGGAGGGCTACAAGGATGATGAGGGGACTGGAGCATCTCTCTCATGAGGAAAGGCTGAGAGCTGAGTCTGTTTAACCTGGAGAAGAGAAGACTGAGAGGGGATCTTATCAATGCTTATAAATATCTAAAGGGTAGATGTCTAGAGGAAGGGGCCAGACTCTTCTCAGTGGTGCCCAGTGACAGGACAAGAGGCAATGGGCACAAATTGGAAAACAGGACGTTCCATCTGAACGTGAGAAAAAACTTCTTTACTCTGAGGGTGACAAAGCACTGGAACAGGCTGCCTGGAGAGGTTGTGGAGTCTCCTTCTCTGGAGATGTTCACACCCCGCCTGGATGCAATCCTGTGCAACCTGCTCTAGGTGATCCTGCTCTAGCAGGTGGGTTGGACTAGATGATCTCCAGAGGTCCCTTCCAACCTCTACCAATTTCTGAATCTTTGGCTTCTTCACTGTTGTGGTTACCTATGTTATGGCCTTTGGGATATTCTGAGGAAGGAGAAGGATATCTCACAGCTGTGCTTGTCTGTACCTCTTGCCTTGTGAAATTCTCAAATGTCAGTGAATGGCAGTTCTCTAAGGTTCAAGCACATTGAACTTTGCTAAGCTGTCTGTGGAGTTCAGCCAAAGAGTAACCTAGTCTTTGCTTTAAGCCTAGCCCTGAGGGGCGATTATCAGAAACGGGCATGCCAGAGCATCTCTGCCCAGTAAAACAACTGTGATGCTTACTGATTGCTGTCAGTAATGATAGGTAGGAGTTTTGTCCAGAGCAAAGCCATCACAGGAGTCTCTTTCAAGGGCTCGATTTTTGTGGTCTCCTATATTTACCCATGCTTTTGACAATTACTTCACAGAAGCTGCTGCCATGGACCTTGAGCCAGTGTTGGAGGCTGAAGAAGCCATGGAGCTGGAGCAGAGTGAAGGAGAAGAGGAGGTGGTTGAGGAAAAGAAAGGGAAGAATCTCCCTGAGGAGCCAGCAGAACCTGAGCAAGCAGCTGAGACATCTAAAGATGCTGTGCAAGTGGTCAAACCTGTTTCTTTCTTACCCCGAAATAAAGAAGAGCTGGAGTGTCTCATCAAACACATTCAAGATACAGTTACAGTCAACATCTTGCCTAAATTGCACAGGTGTATTGTTGCAAAGGTGAGGAGTTGGCATTGCAAAGGTGTTTTGCAGGTCTGTGCTGCTACCATAAAGGTTGGGGTGCTACTCAGAGCCCAGTGGAAATGCAGCACATAAAAAAAAAAAAAAAAAAAAAAGACACAACTGGAGAGAGACCACCTGAAAGCATAAAAGGGGTTTCATCCCCTTTATTGTGTCATGGAGATTACTGGCAGATCCTCTGGTCAGTGTGGGTGTGGTGTCTTGTCTTCCTTGCTGAGAACTGGCTTGAACCACACAAGTAAAACGATTCACTTTTGTGCAGCCTGTTGAAAAGTTCTCAGCAACTTGCTAGCACCCAGTTTAACTTCTTTATTGAAAACACAGGGATTTATCTCACCTGTTGTTTAGCTGTCTGGGTTTTTCCTGTAGTCAGCAGAGGATAGCAACTTGCCTTGTTGACCTCTTCTAGAGTTTGTTGAGAAAAAGCAGGATTTGTTTATATATATTGAAAGCGCGTTGTATCTTGCTCTTCTAAAAAGGTTAAAAGAGACGAGGAACACAAGCTTGTGAAATCCAGCGTTGTGAATGATGATGAGGTAGTTCGTGTTCCATTAGCTTTTGCAATGGTCAGAATGATGCAGTGTCTTCCCCAAGAAGTGATGGAAGCCAACCTGCCAAGGTAAATCCTGTCAGAGCTCCTTAAATGCAGTTCATTGTTCCAGGAATGAGTGCAGGCACCTTTCTCAAGCTGTGGTTATGTACAAAGCTAAATCCAAGAGGACATCCTAACAATCCTTAAATACTTTTTTTTTTTTTTTTTGGAAAATCATTTTCCTAGTGACATTCTCCTTTGTCAGCATTTGACTTTCTTAAAGCTGTGTTTGAAAGAAACTTGGTAAATCCTTAAATAAGAGCAGAACTGTGAAGCAAGTTGCAGTGGTAGGGGTGGCAGAGCTGGGGAAAGAACAACGTACAGGAAAAAAAGGACAATCGGTAAAATGTCTTGAAGGACAGTAGGTGTGTGTATGACTATAAAGCCTTTCTGTGAGGCTGGTTTTGAGTATAGCTCTGGTTGTGAAACAGCCCTGAAAAGCAGTCTCCTTAGCTAGCAGTGTAATTAGTTCTGCTCTGTTTGGGGGTGAACTAAGCTGTCCGTCTCTGTTTCCAGTTGCTGAAAGTCTGCACTTTTCTGAGGAACAGATTTCAGGAAATCCGGGACATCGCCCGTAACACCCTCACTAAAATCATGGAAGTGTTGGGAGTGCACTACCTTCTGTACATCTTAAAAGAGATGCAGTCCACTCTTGTCCATGGGTACCAGGTAATGCTGAAATTCTTCCTCTTCTGCTCTCTGTAGGTTTTTCTAATGTGTTAGGAGGAGAATCCAAAGGGAAGTTGCTACTGAAATTGTTTTGCACTGGTAAAATAGCTTGGTATAATACAACTAAATACTATTGCTGGTGCCTACCTCAGTCTTTATTATGTGAAGTGTCAGATGAGGGTCTGTACCCAAAGAACTTAAGAGTCTAAGGAGGGAAGAAAAGAGGAGCTCCATTTTCCCAGTGAAGAGTTGAGGTATAGAGGTGAAGGATGAATTTCTGGTTCCAGCAAGATTAGTGAAAATCTTTTGAGTAAGGTCATTATGGCCAAGCATCATCTGAGGTGAGTTTCCACAGAGACTGCACAGACAGTATGTGGTGATGCTGTTTGAAGTTTTGTTTCCTAGATCCAGAGCCAAGGTTCTGACTATTAATTCATCTTTCCTCTTTCCATGGTGGTTGGGGTTAAGAAAAATTTTCTGTGTGGGTTACCACAGTGGAATAGGGTGAACTTCTAGCTGCTGTGAAAGCGAAAGCACCAGTTAGCACAGCCTAAAAATATTTGTAAGAGCACTGGAAAAGAGGAGATTCCAGCCCTTCTGCCAGACAGGGGTCGTTTTCCTGCTGCTGGTACATGGATTTTCATCCTCCCAATGATTTCCCCCCCCTCCTATAATGAGAGCTCAAATGCAGTGTGTGAGTTGTGATGTCTCTGCTATGGGAGTCTCCCCATCCAGTATTATTAAAGAAGTCTATGCAGGGGTTTGGAAACATGATCTGTTCTCTTTTTCTCTAGCTCCATGTGCTGACTTTCACTGTGAACCTGTTACTGAAGGGCCTTTCTACCAGACTCAGCGCTGGTGATTTGGACCCCTGCTTAGATATCCTGATTGAGGTAAAAGCTATTGAAGATTGAAGGAAAGAGCATCATGAAGTGCCATGGGCTGGTTCTGAGAGGAGGTTGTTTTGTGTAGATTGTCTTGGACTTGGTGGCAAACAGGGCTGATTGTGTGTGTACTGCAAAGGAAGGAGACTGTGTTTTCTACTGAGGCATCAGCAGACCCCTTGTAGAGTAGCAAAGTATCTCTGGGGCTGTGTTTTATCTTGACAAAGAAAAGGTATACATGATATGCGGTAAACCTGGAGAATTATTTTTTCTGTGAATGGGGAAAAATAGTGTTGTTCTGCTTCTACTGGAGGACTCTAGCTCTGCTTTTCTGCTCCTCTCATTCATTTCTCTTGCCTGATTTCCAAAGATTTTCAACCAAGAGTTGTTTGGGAATGTAGCTGAAGAGAAGGAAGTAAAGGGAATTGTCTCCAAGGTCATGGAAGCACGCAAGAACAAGAGTTATGATTCCTATGAAATTCTTGGAAAGTTCATAGGAAGGGGCCAGGTGACGAAACTTATTCTGCCACTGAAAGAGGTAAGAAAAGTCAGCTAGAGTCTTTCTTAACTCTGAGCATTCTCAATTCTGTATGATCTGAAAGAAACTCTAGAGCCTCTGGGATGCTACTGTGAAATTACCTATATAACCGTGCTTTGGCTTCCCATTTTTCTTTTGGAAAGCAGTATGCACCCAGCTCAGTTTATGAGACTTTACTATTGATGTCTAGGGCAGGGAATGGTGTTCTGGGAAGCTTTCAACCCCTGCTGGAGAGGAAACATCTTGTTATGAGTTCTCCATGCCCACTTCTCTGCCAGCTCTTGTTTCTTCTGGAGTGCCAAAGTCCTGCAAGGCTGCTCTGTGGTTTGATCTCTTGTGCATGGAGGAAATGCCACCAAAATGTATTCAGGGTCTGTTCATGTGCAATAATTGCCTTTTCAGAGATGCAGTTTTTTGAGGAGAGTGCGAGTTCATGCAGAAATGGAACCCTGGTTTGCTCATGAGCTCTGGAGTGTCCTGGTGGCAATAAGTGAACTGACTGGAGGCTGAGAAGAGGCTGGAGAGAAAGGGAGGGATGTTGGGGCAGAGCTGAGGTGATGGGATGCTGTTCATGTAGAGAGCTGGGTACTTACAGCAGCATGTGATGAGAGAGGAATTGCTCTGGCTTTCCTCATGATTTTTAATACAGATAGCAGATCATTGCCTTCATGTTGCCCTCCTGACTTTCATGGTTGTGCCTTTGCAGGTTCTGGAGAGCACCACAAGCTTGAAGATAGTCCGGAAGGTGCATGAGGCACTGCGTCACATCATGGCAGGGCTGATCTTCAATTCAGACATGAATGCGGAATCCCTCCTCCTCCTCAGTCATGGTCTCATCAGTGAAAACTTGCCTCTGCTCACTGAGAAGACCCAGTGAGTTCCCGGATGTTATCCAGATGGTCTGTTATTGGTTGGGAGGTTTGTTTGCAAAAGTGGCAGCTCTTAAATCCAAACAACCAAATGTATGAGAGTTTCCTCACTTTCATTTGCCTTTTGTTTTCAATGCAAATGAATTATTTGGGCAGTCAGAGGGCAAGGAGAAAGCTTGGAAATAGGAGTGAGCACCTGAATTCATGGGAGTCTACTCTTATAAGTGCTCAGGGCCTTCAGCAAGGCTTTTTCACCACCTGGTAAGCTGGTATATGCATTCAGGCGTTTAGATGAAGGGGCCAGGGGCAGAGTTTAGAGGCGAGCTACAAACTGTCGTATAAGAGGTATTTGGGGTCCTGGACATTTTTGTGGGGTCAGGAACAAGAGAAACCGTAGGCTGTCACTTCATCATTTTGCTTCTGGTTCAGAAGTCAGGGAGAACCATCAGATTTCCCCTCCATCTGGAGTGGTGTCACTGCTCAGAGCTGGGTCTGGGTGTCTTGCATTTCCTGTGTTACATAGGCCGGCTTGCTCTAGGATCTGACAGCAGTTTGCAGACTTCTTGGAGCAGTTTTTGTAAGCCATCAGAAACTGAAGTATCAGTAAATGAGGTGCAGTGGGCAGTGGCAGGAGGTATATTTGCTAGAAGGAACTACCAAAGTTGGTCTGTCCACTGAGAAGAAAAAAGTTGGAATGTTACACAAATCAGCGTGCATTTGTTATCTTTGTAATAGTGATATTGTTCTCAGGTCTGAGAGTCCTGTCTGTCATGCTACTCTCAAGTTCATTTTATTTCATTGTAGTCTAGCTGTGACCTGCTTTTGCTTGTTGTGTGGGTAGCAGCTGAGCACAGTTCAGCTCTCTTCACTCCCAACAGCAAGCTTGTTGTGGAGAGGGTTGAAATCTGAATATTCTCCTTTGCCATACACTGCTTTTCAGAAAAAAAGTTGCCCCTCCTCCAGATCCTCGGCTGCAACCAGAGAGCTGCCTGCTGCTCCCACCCACTCCCACAAGAGGAGGGCAGAAAGCACGTGTCAGCAGCAGGACAAACACGTATATCTTGGTTGATTCAGGACTTCGGGTAAGGATCTCCTCAGATACAAAATTTTGCAGTCAAAATTTTTGTTAAGGGTATTCAAAGGAAGGTATTCTGGATATATTGTGGTAACAACACAGCCACTAGCCTTAACTTTATTTTGCATGTGGTAACTCCAATGATGCCTTTTTGAGAGCTGTAAAAAGTGCTCAGCCTGTTGCAGATATTTGAATGGGATATGCCATAAATTCTGCTATAACCTGAAACAATGTGGGACCTTACTTAACTTATTTGAGTTCCAGCCTGCCTTTGAGATGAACGTTCTGTGCTTTCTACACCAGCTTCTGCACATGAGCCTGAAGAGGTCCAAAGTAAATTCTTCTGAGGAATGTGTTTTGGAAATGTTAGACCCTTTTGTTCAGCTCCTTATAGACTGCCTGAAATCTATGGATGTCAAGGTACAGTTCTGAGCTGGAGTCTGTCTGTCTCTGTCTGTTCTACTCAGAAGGGTCCTGCCCACAAATGTCATCTTGCCATTGATCTGCAAGAGAAGAGAAAGCCATCCGTTTTTCAAACCTGATTTCATATGTGTGCAGGTCAAGTTGTTTGAGGACATGATATCTCAAGGGGGAGGAGGGATTGTCACTGATGGAGTACTGAATGCTCTGCCCCTAATGCTGCAGGTTCAAGTATGGACAAGTTCTCCTGGAGCACGTTCATACAAAGACTTTGCATATTTCATAGGTTATCTACAAGGAGGTTGATGAGGTCCTGTGGCTGCTGGGAGCAGTGTTGTCACAACTGTGGTTTCTTTTGATCCAACTCTAATGTCTTTATTCCCAGCACCATAGGCAGCCTCCTTTTTGGGCAACTTTGGGTGTGAGTGAGCCTAGGAGGGAATCTGTTAAACCTTGGGTTTCTTGGAAGTGGAAGGCATGCGTCATACGCTATCAGATACCTGGAGCAGGGCTTTCAAGTGACCTGGGGTTTTGGCAGAGCAACTTCTATGTCTTGAAGGTACCTCTGCTTAAGAAAGAGTTCCTGCCATCTGCTGAATCAGCACTGTGTTAATGTCTTTACCTAGTGAAATCAAAACTAGAGTTAGGGAGTGGCAGATAGGGGTTTTAGAACTGAGAAACCCTTTGTATTACATCTGTATAGTTTGAAAGAGGTTAAATTTGTTAGCTAATTGCCTTTACCACAGTTGCAAATAGCCTCACCATGTAATGGAGTGTGAAGAGTGTTCTCTCAGTGTCATTGTATCCATGTACTGTCCTTTGGCTCTTTCTTACAGGTCGTAACTGGTGCTCTGCAGTCCTTGGTATGGATTTTAAAGTTCCCTTTGCCTTCTGTCAGTACAAATCTGGAGCCACTGATCAAGCAGCTTTTCCTCTTGCTAAAAGAATTTGCCAAGACAGGAATAGCCAAAGGCCAGAATTTCCACTTGGTTGTGAGCTGTTTCAAAGTAAGTCCCCAGCTCTGCTCTTTTCTACTTTAGGATTAACTTTGTAGAATGAGACTCTTCCAATGGCAGATCCCTCCTGCAGCTGTCCCTGGAAAGCTAGTCTGGAGATCACAAGGTAGTGAGGGAAATGTGGCCATGCTGATTGTTTCTGAAGTGCAAACTTGAAGTTATGCTCCAAAAATGCGCAGCTTGAATCTGAAGGAAGTGTTTTTATAGAAGCATATTTGCCTTCTGTCTTCCTTACAATAGTATCTTGTTACCAGCCCATCTTTTGAGAGGTGTCAGTTTTGTCCTTGTATAGCTTGCTTTTAACACGATTCATTGGAATAAACCCTTGCAACTGAATTGAGACAAGGGAAGGAGGCAATTAATAGTAGTAATAACTAACTCAGTGTGCAATACCTTCCTGTAGATGTCTTCTAAACGTGTTGCTGAATTAATTACAGCTTTATGATCATAAGGGAAAGTTGGAGTAATTCATGCTGAATGCCAGTGCCAGAAGAATTTTCCCCTCTTCCTGGCTGTATTCCTGCCTCATAGTTCGTGTCTGTGAGCATCCCCGCTCATTTCAAGGACTGATCTGAATTTGTGTATTGGCTTGTGTTCGGTTTTTGTCTCAGAATTGCCAGTTGAAAGCAAAATGTGATGAGAACAGCGCTAGCTGCATTTTCCAGAGCAACAGTTTGTCTTTGCAAACCTAAGTGGTATAAACAGTCAGGCTTTGGCGTGGGTTTGTGTTTTATGGCACTGCATGTGTATTGAGAATGTGCTGTTTGATTTTGCAGTGTGTGACAGTACTTGTGAAGAATGCAAAGAGTCAGATAACCAGCAAACAGCTCCAAGTGTTGCTTGGCTTTGCTGAGGAAGACATTTACGATTCATCACGCCAAGCCACTGCCTTTGGCCTTCTCAAGGTATTTCTCTGCAGCAGATGTAGGGGTTCAGTGAGCCACTGGAATGGCAGCGATTCTGTCTCTTGGTGACGGGCTGTACGATCTCATGTCAGGAAGAGGCCACAGAATGCTGTTAAGGCTCTGTTATGGGTGGGGGAAGCAGCAAAGCTTTCCTGTTTGACTTGTAGTTGCTGTTTAATGTTGTTTGGGACGCTGTTTTATACACATGTGTATCAGGATGTATTTGGGCCTGAGGATGTTTTTGCTAAAGAATCAACATCCCTAATCATTAGACTAGGTATTCTTTTTCCCCCCAAAAAACGGATATGGAATTGTAAGCCACCTTTTTTCACCTTTTTTTTTTTTTTTTAAGTTGTTCTGGCTTGTTTGAAGATGTGAAAAAGTCAGTGTTAGCGTGCCACCTGAGACCAGTCTAGTCCTGGGTTATAGTACCACATCGTGGACTGTGCAAGCAAAGTGATGTGACTCCAACTGTGCTTTCACATTTTTAGGCTATTTTATCCAGGAAGTTGATTGTCCCTGAAATTGATGATGTGCTGCAGAAGGTTGCCCAGCTGGCCATCACGGGGCAGAGTGAACCGGTGCGAGTCCAGTGCAGGCAGGTTGGTAGAATGGAAAGTCTCTCACTTCACTTACACCAGTCTAACAGGCTAGAGGGCTTAGTGTGGCTATCCCAGCTCTCACAGACTGAACCCCTAACCCCGTTTCCCCTTCTTACTAATCCTTGTCTCATTGTTATCTGGCTGGCTTTAGTTCTTGTGACCGATGCATAGCAGAATTGCGGACTGCTTGCCTATAGTGAGACTGTTTGCTGTGGTCTGCCTTCGGAGAGCTAGCTGCTCGGCAGCAGTGACATGGTCCCTCCTTTGGAGGCTTTTAAGCCCATGTAACTAAGTAACCTTTTCTGAATCCCAGCAGAAGAGAATTTGCCGCAAATCGATGATTCCTTCCCACTACTTCCTCCTTTCCAAGCTAAAAGGCAGAATTGATTGCTTCATTTGAAGCGTTGGGATACAGCAGGAGCTGGGCATAACCAAATAGTGCATTTCCATAGTTAACAGGATGAATTTTGAAGGATGCAGAATCTCTCTTAACAGAAGCCTGTGCAAATCACAGTAATACTCTAAAGACTGATCTGGCGGTTGTCAGACACCTGCAGATCCTGTTCCAGGCATGGAGCTTGAGAGCAGTTGTTGGCCTCTTACGTAACAGGAGCTTACATAGGCAGGAGAAAGTGATGATTCTCATAAACTCACTGCATTTTCTTCATAACCTTTTTACAAGTTTTCCTGAGTGTTTCTTGTAACTCCTCTCTGTGTTGTTGTGTTTTTCTTTCCAGATTTACTTAAAATATATTCTGGACTACCCCCTTGGTGACAAGCTGAAACCCAATCTGGATTTCATGCTAGCACAACTGGAGTGAGTTTATATTCCCAACATTTCTGTCAGAACAGAACCTTGTTGCTTAAATAGGACTTCAGTAACCATGTTGTGTGCCAAAGAGCTGTTTGAGGAGGAGAGAGTGTAGCTGAAGTCTTAATTTTCCTACCTCTAAAACACTTACCTTTTTCAGAGGCAGGCTGTTTGATAAAGCAAGCCCTTTTTTTCTTCCCTGTTTCACAACTGGTTTTGTTCTTTATCTCTTTGTAAGCAAAGGTTCTGTTGTTTGCCTAGTGGTTAACCAGCTCCACTGGTTGTAAACCAAGGGAACCGGAAAATCCAGAAAGAATAAGGGAAGGTGCATTTATATGACTGCTGTCCCATGGCAATGGTCTCAAACTGCGGTTGCAGGCACAGTTGA